AACGGTCCAAATAAATGGAGTGATTATCTCTACAATTGGACTAACGATAAATGAGTGCAATCTGTGATCTAATTAATTATATTTAGTTTTTTATTAATTTAAAACAAATTATGTTTTTGTCTTTTCATAATATATTCCAATGTTTTATCGAGAAATAAAGTTTTTTACATATATTTAATTTAATTAACAAAATCTCATTTTATTGATAAGAAATAATTAAAAATATTTATTGAAAATTGTATAAAAACTACATTCATTGATTTTCTGGTCGAAAGTGTGTCTCAATTGGCGCGGCTTTAAAGCTGGCATCAGAAGAGGTGACGCGAAATATTTTGCCAGCGTTTGGGTATTGAGTCATATCCTGGCCATCATTTCCTGTGGTCACATACATCTGATCCAAGTGTTGACCACCGAATGTAATAGAAGTGGTCAATAGGGCTGGTATTGTCACAAAGTTCTCCACATTCCCTATACATATAATTACCGATTGATTAAGTAATAAATTTATGTTCAAACTATAAATACCAGTTTCTTCGTTGATTTGAACAACTCTTCCGCCGCCATATAATGAGACCCAAAGTCTTCCACTTTTATCGGTAGTCATACCGTCTGGATATTCATTAGCCATAAAACTCGCATTTGATTTAAAATCAATAAAAATCTTCTTATTATCTGAAATATTTGTTCAAATAATTAAATANGCCATATAATGAGACCCAAAGTCTTCCACTTTTATCGGTAGTCATACCGTCTGGATATTCATTAGCCATAAAACTCGCATTTGATTTAAAATCAATAAAAATCTTCTTATTATCTGAAATATTTGTTCAAATAATTAAATAATGTACGAAATAATTGATGATAACTCACTAATTAAGCCGTTTTCGAGATCAAAATCAAAGATGTAAATTTTCTGATCTCCCGAGTCATTGAAATACATTTTAGTATTGTTTAGATTCCAAGACATTCCGTTAGAAAGCGTAAAATCTTCAGACATTTTGATAAAATGATTGCCATTTAGTTTATAAAGACTCCCTTTTTGGGGAACCGCTCCATCGGATCCGTCCAATACACTGCCGATCCATAGCCGGCCCTTCGCGTCAACCTTTCCGTCATTGAATCGCTCTTTGCCTTCGAGTTGGGGTGCAATCGATGCCAACACTTGTCTTGTGTTAGCCTTTATGTCCACTTTCATCACTTTATTCCTTAGACTCACTAAAAGTGTGTCTTCATTATTGTCTTCAAATGGGATAACAATTGTCACCAAATCTTTGAAACTATATTTCTCTGTTTGACCGCTCTTTACGTCCATTTGAAGAATATCGCCGACGAATGCGTCCACAAAATACAG